CCCGCCGGGGAAGGGGAGGCGACCGGTCCCGGAGCTCAGCCGGAGAGGTGCCCGGCGGCAGGCGCCTGTCCAGGTCCCACACGCAGCTCCTCCTGCCGTGACGGTCTGCGGCGCAGGCAGCGGCCGGAGCCTTCCCGGGAGCCTTCTCCCTGAGCACTGCTCCAGGCATTTTGCTTAAGAGCAACAGCTGACAGGAAGGACCGACGGTTTTGCCTGGAAAATTTGTTGCAGAAGAGAGGTCAAACAAACAAAACGTGTAAATACGCATAGACGTGTGTGTCTATGCATAAAACCCCCTCCAGGAACAGAAGAAAATAAACCAAACAAATAATTTGTCCTGGTCTGTTATTTGCTACTAAATACTTACATGTAAAAAATATCCATGTGACCTCAGGCAAGCAACTAAAAAGAGGAAACTAAATTCATGACATTGAAAGCTAGCTACATCAGTGGCTTCTGTGGCCTCACAGTCACCATTATACAAATTTATTCCAGTTTCTTTTTCTTGTTATTTTTTTCTGAGGAAAATATCACTAAACCTGTTTTTAACCACAGAAGAAATCAGTGGAAATTAATGTTCCTCAGTGCCACCTATTGCAGAAATCCACCCCCTCAACCTGCTACGGTAGTTTCAGATTATTAGAACCTAAATGTTACATTCAGCTATTTCATATACCACTGTCTCCATGTTACTCCCACATATCAAGCAAAAAGGTTAAGTCTTACCGATTTTGTGTATTACATGTTTTTGCTTCCATGACAGGTACTGTGAGTGGGCTGCCAAGTACAAAGAAGAAAATACTTCCTGAAAACTTTTAAGTGGTCATTTCACAGTATTTCAACTCTTCTGAGAACGTCAACCCTTTTTTCAGGTATGAGAAGACAATGTAAGTAGGTGAACATATACTGAAACATGTTTAAAGTTATATTTTGTGCTGTTGACTAGGTTATGCCACTGTGGTCCTCAAGTTAGTGTGAGTATATCCTTTGACTTCTAATACTTGGGGGTTTTTTTCTGTATTCTGGAATGACTTCTAGAATCAAGAAAAAGACAGCGCTCTTTATTTTTTGCTAAGCTAGTGCATAGGCTTCACAACTCCTCTTGCACTACACAGCAGTAAGGCAAAGGGCTTCCATGGGGCTAAAACTTAGGGAGATAATATTATTCTTACGGGAGAAGGGTGGGCAATACCCTTCCCCTTATTCATACTTATAGCCTTTGTAGACATGAGTCAGTTGTGTAGATATTTCCAGTCATTGTTAGCAGCGTTTGGCGCTGGCTGAGATTAATACTGTAGGGACCCTGAGTTTGTGTAGATGGGTGACTTCCTGCTACTGGTGTTCCAAGGACTGTTGCTCACACATATCTTTGATCAGATGACATGTTTCTTAAAGTTCCTGTGACATTTTATGTACTAATTTTCCCAACATTTCTGTCTCTGGTTACAGCAAACCACTGTTAGCAATAAAGAATTTCCCGTAGTGGGGAATTTTCCAGTAATGGGAAGTGTCCTAAAGAAGTAGGTGGAGTTATACCAACATTTAAGTTCTGTCACAAGAAGTTTTTGGGCAAATAGTTCTGGTTTTCCTGCCTTCTTCATTTGATTGTGAGGTAAACATACAGCAGCAGTACTGAAAAACATTTTTTCCAGTGAATATCTTTTTGTTTTTATAGAACTGTGTTTGCCATAGATGTCAGAAGCTGGCAGAAGAGAAGGGACGTTGAGGTAGGTTCTGTATGAAAAATGATGAGAAGATTGCAGCTTTGGAAAAGGTCTTTGATTGGCATCTAGGTCTTGACCTGCTTTAACCAATCCAGCCAGGAAATCTTTCTGCTCAGGCTGAAATGGAAGGGTCTGTAATGGTTATTGCAAATGGTTTCTTCACACTCATCTGGATTTGACCTGGACCTACTATTTTTCTCTCTAAAAGTGAAAAATTGAGTACAGCAGCAGACTTTCTCAGTCTTGAGGAATTTTGTAAGTAACTGCCATGCTTCTTTTGTGTGTAGTAAGGCTTGGTTTCCTCTACAGTGGAAGAAAGCATGCAAATTAAAGTTCAGCAATTGCAGGATACAAACATGGGTCTCTGTCCTGGGTTCAGAACTGTAAAAGATTACTTGTTGTCATGTGTCTTCCAGGAGTTAATCAGAAGCTCTCTTGGAGTTCATACTGACATTCAGATTTCCTGACAAAAAAGGGGCAGGGGTTGCATGTGTGCATGTGGGCACCTTCTTGTGATTGTAGCGCATATGCTATTTGTTCTGAGCAGTCTCTCAGCTACAGCCTCTGCAAAAAAATTAGTATTTTGGGGCTGAGCATGCTACAACTCTGGTCCTTGTGTCATGGGGAGCACAGGGAGGTACACACCTACACCCATTAGTCTTAGTGGCTTGCTCTTCTGGAGGCTTGGTTGGGGCTTGGTTGGTGCTCTGGACTGCTTGTTACTCAGACTGGAATCATGATGGAGGCACTCTCATGAGTACCTATCTCCAGCAACTCTCAGGTGTTCACAGGATTAGGCAGCAGCTTGCTGGTACTTTTAAGAACATCTCTTGTGGCTAAGGAATGATTTGGGCACCTAACCACATTAAGAAGCCTGTGATTTACTTATCAATGAAACAGATCTTTCACCCTGAGGATCTTATTTGCATTTTTCTGTCCCTGTTAGCAGAACATCCTTTTGTAATTTGCTCATGCCTGCATAAAAATGTATTAGATTGACTCTCTTTCTTAGCTCCCTGTGTTGCCTTCTGCAAAACTGCTATTGGGATCAGGCAGCAGCAATCTGAGGATAAAAGTAGCTTGAATACAATTCTTATGAGGAGTCCAATTCCCTTAAGCCACAACAGTATAAAGGTAAACGTCTCTTATGGTTCAGGACCATTTTGTCACTTTATTATTGTCTTGAAGTTGACAACCAGAGAAAGACAAAATGTTTTACAAAAAATGGTAAGAGTCACAGTCCAGGTGGAATTTCATCAGTTAGGAAGCATGACGGTTACTACAGTTGCCTAATTTCGTATGCAATGCAGAAACTATGACTAGAAAACAGTTGAAGGCAATGTTTCCTTATTGCTGTGGCTGTGTGGGTACCCAAAATGAGGACTTCATGTAGATAAAGTTCTACAGGTGCCTGCCACGGAAGACTTCCATTACAGTGAGTTTGAATTTTTCTTGATAGCAATTCGAAAAATGATGGCAGTGTTTGATACTAGTATTGCTCTGACTTTGAATACACACTTAGCAAGTGCAATGGGCATGTGAAGGTTAACTGTATGAATTGACATTAGTCAGTGGTTTACAATGTTAGAGTGTTGTGTAGGAGTATAAAATAATGTGTCAATAAAGAGGGGGAAAACTTCTGACAGAAAATTGAAACGTGTTCAGGGGTAAAGCAGCAGGAGTTCAAGAAAAGAGGTTCTGTTTCTAAGCTGGCTGTAAAACTAGACTGTTTTACAAAGGCGTTATTGTGTAAATACTCATTAAGTGATTCATTACCACATGAATTCTGTTCACAACACATGAATTCAGGAGCCCTGTGATAAGTACTGTGGGACCAGGAGTTATGAAACATATTGATAAGATGTTAAAGTGAGGCAAACAGCTGGGGAAGACTTAAGTTCTATTTCTTTCACTGAATGCGTACAGAAAAATCCTCTATTGTCCTCCTAGCAATACCTCCTACTAGGGGAATAATTGGGTATTTGCAAGTACTTATTTACTAACTGACAGATAGTGATAAAGCATGTATTTTGCCACCAAGGACAAATGTTTAAAGCACATAAAATTAGTGGTTTTTCCTGCATGTACCCGTGCAGGAAGCTTTCTGCCTGATCATCTGCTGTAGTTAAAGGTGCAATTTTGTCATGTTTTCAGCTGGAATTCAGTGCCTTCTGTCCAGTTCCTTGTATGGAATGACTAAAAAGTGTATTTTGCAGTGCAAGTTAGAAAATTAGCAGATATTTATATTTGTCTATTATTTTATCATTTTAGGTTCTATCTACATCATGGAAAAGCTTTTGCTTTTGTATATATTGTTATTCTACTGGCATTTCCTAAATGGTAAGAAGTTGAGTCATAAGAAGCAGTAGAACTCTTTAGGTATGTTTCCTTTCCATATATAAGCACAGAAATGTTAATTCTTCAGTTTTCCTTCAGGTACTAAATTTCTTTTTCCCCCTTAATGTTTTAAATAAAAATGTCTTAGCATGCTTTTACATTAAACTAGGTATGTGTGCTTAACACATGTGCTTTGATACAGGGCCAGGTTGAAATCCCGATTGGTGCTTCAGCATAGGCACTATTTCTGACAAGGTATCATTTACACTACATGAAGGTTTTATTGGCACTGTCAAACCCAGGAGTTGTTGCGTGTGCTTCAACATCCTGTGTAAAAGCAATTGACATTTATATGATCAGAACATTCCCATCTAAGGCACTAACAATTGCCTGTTACAGTGCCCTGAAAACAGCTCAGGGGCTGCGCAGACACATTCACGTATTTTTAATACAACATCCCAGTGTGTGTGTGTGCAAAGCTGGTGTCTGCAGGTAAAGATAGCTATTTTGTCCTAATCTTGGGCAAGTGCATGCAAAAATGTTTAACTTTTCTGAACAGGGCAGATACTTTTGGCCCTTAAAACATCCTATGTATATAGAAAGACATGACTTAGAAGATTAGGTCTGTAACTGGAAAAATGTGTTTTCTTCTGAATTTTGTTTTTCAGCTTTATTCACAGTTGAAGCTCCCCAGTCACTCTACATTGTGGAACATGGGAACAATGTGACCATGGAATGTACATTTCCAGTGAATGGGAAATTAAAGTTTAGAGATTTAAGTGTCAGCTGGGAAAAGAAAGATGAGTTAAAGAAGCAGGTTTATGTACTTCTCAAAGGAGAGGAAGACTTCAGAAATCAGCACAGTGACTTTAAGGGAAGAATAAAATTGTTGAAAGAGAATCTGAAACTGGGACAGTCTCTCCTTCAGATCACTGATGTGAAGCTCAGAGATGCAGGGTTTTACCAGTGCATTATTGGCTATGGGGGAGCCGACTACAAGACAATCAATTTGAAAGTTAAGGGTGAGTACACTACTGCAGGAGGTTCAATGCTACTGATACTGTTTAAAGATTTCAGAGGAGTCCCTGAAGTAAGACAAACCTGGGTTAGTATTTAAAGAAAGTTCTCCAGAGACAGGAGCCACCTTGTAGCCCTTGTGCAGCTGTATAACTTTGTAGTTTCACCTGGGCTGAATCCATATTCTGTATAGCTTGTGTTTCTGTCTGGGTTGAATCCGTGTTCTGTTCATAATGACATATAAGGAAAGGTCTAGCAAAACCATTTAGACAGGATAAAGACCAGAAAGCTGATACAATTTTCTAAACAGCATTAAAATTGTAATATATCCTGTACCTCCAGTTACTATGGAGACACATAATAGTGGTACTTACTTTTCCTGTTGAGTATTATTTACAAAATCCAAGTTGATGTACAGAAACAAGTAATCATTTTCTTCCACTTGTACAGCTCCCTATAGGACTATAACCCAAGGAGTGGAGAGCACAGGACACAACGAATGGAAGCTGACATGTCAGTCAGAAGGACACCCACAAGCTGAAGTGATATGGCAAAACAGAGAATATGAAGATTTGACAGATAAGGCAAACACGAGTTATGAAACTGGAAGTGATCAGCTGTATCGTGTGACGAGCACCCTTACCATCAAAAGTAGAATTGATGAGATTTTTTACTGTATATTCTGGAATAAAGAGCTGCAAGAAAATACATCTGCCATTTTACACATAACAGGTAACATTTCTAGATTTCATTTGGGGTAATACACTTCATGTCATTTTGTCCCAGTTAAATCAGACATGGTTTCTTTTTCTGTCCTATCTAATTTTCAAAAGGCTAAAAAGAAATAGCTATGTTATTAAGTTTTGCTACTAGTGTACACTTACACTATAATAACATGTTCATCATGCATGTGTGGAAAGAGTTCAGGGATAGGAATTCTGCGTGATCTACAGTTATGTGACAATTGAGTCTGAGTGTTAAAAAAGGTCTATTATTTGAAAAGAATACAGCTTAGAGCCTTGAAACCCTCCCATATAAATTGAACACAACTTCCAAGAATGTTCTGTTTTGCTGATAACTGTCAAATGAATTTGAACAACAGGGTCTTTTCCTGCCACCACAGCCTTTGTTTTGAACATATTTACATTTCACAAGTTTTACGCAGACCTTTTTTTTTATTCCCTCATAAAGTCTGGATTGAAGGAAGATGCATGAATGGAGATGACCGATACAATTTCTCATTAGACTTTTTAACTGGGCACCACCCCTACTGCTCTTGCTTTTGGTTACTCTTTCAATTTCTGCATTGTACTCTGATACGTTTGCACAAGCTTTCAACCAGACGGGAAACCTGATCCAACTGAAAAACTGTATTCCTTTTTATCTGACTGTAACTTGGTTAGTTTGTTTCCCCGGTCTTGTTCACATGCAGTTTTAAAGATGCCTGTGCTAGCACACTTTCTGGGATTGGCAAGGGGTGGAAACTAGTAGCGAGAGTGAGAAAGCCAAGTCACCCTTTCAATAGGTGGTGAGCAGGCAAGTTTAGTTTTAACAAGAAATGCCTCTGGGATTCAAGGAGACCACTTATCCTTCCATTCAGAGCTTTACAACATGAAAGAGACTCTCTGTTCTCTTTCTCTCAGCTCCTTCCTGCAGTCCTGACAGGAAACTAAGGTAGATGTAACACTTTGTACCTTGGTGACAAACAGGATTCTTGATGGGAATCAAAGGCACTATCACATGGAATGCAGGCAACAAATATTAATATTAATTAATTATTATTAATAATAAATTAATATAAATATGTTCTGGTTTTATTTTGATTGGGATGAAAAATGATGAAGTGTACCATCACATCTCACCTTAGACACAATCTAAAATGCTGTTATCATGTCTAATCTGCTCCTAGCAAAAATAATACAGTGAAAGTGAAAGGAAAAGGGAGAAGTTTATGCAAGTACGTAATATCTTCCCCACTTGTTTTTCTTGAAGATTCAGCTGATGCTGCTCTGTGGACTGAAAGCAGACGGTTTGTTGGGGCATTTCTCATTGTGACCGCTTTCTTTGGATCAGTACCTCTATTTATGCTCTGCATAAGGAAAGGTATTCAAATTATTTATTTAGTGTATCTATCTCAGCTATTATCAGTCTGTTCTGTGAATTCATCCTTGCAGAAGTGGGATAGGATAATAAAAGTCTTCCTTAGATCTTCATCCTGAAACCACTAGACTTTTTTCTTACCATATTTTCTGTTTCTTTATCTTACTTTATTAAATACTAGCAAATTAACAGAGTGGAACAGGTTGTCAGCTCCTCACAAACAACTTACCCTTGCATCTCTATTAATTTTTGTTATGGGTAATGATGCAGAGTAATAAGGTTAGTGTCTGATCTATTCAAACATCCAGCACATACTGGAAATGGAAGTTTCATACAATCATAGAATGGTTTGGATTTGAAGGAACATTAAGGATCATCCAGTTCCAACCCTCCTGCCATGGGCAGGGACACCTTTCACTAAACTACGTTGCTCTAAGCCCCGTCCAACCTGGCTTTGAACACTGACAGGAACAGGGCATCCACAGGTTCTCTGGGCAACCTGTGCCAGTGTCTCACTGCCCTCATAGTGAAGAATGTTTTCCTAATGTCTAATCTAAATCTCCCCTCTGCAACATGCCCTCTCCAGATTTCTCCTAGGCCCCCTTTAAGCACTGGAAGCTGCTCTAAGGTCTCCTCAGAGCCTTTTCTTCTCCAGGCTGAACAAGCCCAACTCTCTCAGCCTGTCTCCATAGCAGAGGTGCTCCAGCCCTCTAATCATCTTCATGGCCTCCTCTGGCCTCACTTGAGCAAGTCCACACCTCTCTTGTGTCAGGAACCCCAGAACTGCATGCAGTGCTGCAGGTGGGGCTTCACTAGAGCCGGGGGGTGTGTGTGGAATCATCCCCTTTGACCTGCTGGTCACACTTCTTTTGATGGAGCAGACAGGGCACTGGAGTGTTTTTTGGGGGGGGGGTGGTGGTGTTTTGTTTAGTTTTGTTTGTTTGTTTGTTTTTCCTGCATTCTCTGAAAAATTTCACTGATTTGTGAGTGCACTTTTTTTAAAGTGATCTATTCGTTATAAATTCTATGTGTATCTTAATTTTCATTAAAATGCCATAAAAAAGGTGGACTACTTCTGAAGCAGCATGTTCAAGGTTTTGAGTCTGAAAAATTTTTTTTCACTACAGGGAATATTCCCACTGTGGTTTCATACCACTTGATTAATTTCCTTGTTAAGCATCGAGCTTTTTCAGTTCTGACTTGAAATGGACAGTTTCAGTATCACAGTGTGCTGAAGAGCTAAAGCATTAGTGGTAATTCATTTTCACTTGCTAACTAACCAAAGAAAAAACCTAAAGAAATAATTTTTAGGGTATCTGAGCATGAAAGGAATATGATTTGCCTTCAAATTAAAGAAAAAGGTTTTGAAACTTGTTACTTAACTTGAAATAAATACTGATAAATATTTTTTTTGTTTGGCTTGGTTGTTTTTTGTTTGTTTGTTTGGGTTTTTTTGTTGATGTGTTTAAGGATTTTATATTTGGGTGTATTTTTCACTCTTCATTTTAACAGATATGAGAAAGACATGCATATCTCAGATTATCCATAGGATTCATTTGAAGATGTCAAAATGAAAGTGGTTTTGCTGAAGGTTCTGGTTTTGGCCAGAACTTTTCCTCTGTATAATGCATTCCTGGATTTTTATTTTTTTTTTAGATGATGCATAACTGCTACTTTTTGCCTGAGCAGCTTTTTGAATTTTTGTTTGTCAAGTCATCTGCAGAGAAAAAGTACAAGAGGCATTGAAGTTGGTACAGTAACTTAGTATTATAATATCTAACTGGCATGACTCTGTAAATTATTACCAGAAATGCTCCAAAAACCTGAACAAGATAGTTGACTAAATGCTCTTCTTGAAATTCATGAATTTTACAGGAGATGTAAAAGTGCATAGCAGGCATAAAACTAAGCTGTAACTGGTGTGAAAGTAGTTGTTCTGTCTTTTCAAGTGATATCTCAAAAGCTTCCACACTACGAGAGGTACACTTTCCGAGGTGGCATAGCACAACTGTTGATTTTCCTATCTGCCATCTCTCTGTTTGACAGTGAAAGTCAGAAACAGCCCTAATTTCTGGCTGGAAACTACACAAAACCATCTATAAGAAAACTCTACACTGAGTGTGTTCATGTTCAGTTTCCATAAAATAAATATAAGATAGAACTAAATATAGGTATTCAGTATTTTGGTCACAAACTCATCTCCCGTATTGGTGCTGTGGAAATGTGTCCTGGGAGAAGTGCTTGTAAGCTTAACAGGCTTGCAGGTGGTATTAACAGGCTGCAGAAGGCCAGTAGATGACCCTGTATGTATAAGAATATACTTGTTTTAAGATCATGGTAGGAATAGGAGCAGAACATGAAAGTGAAAAAGAAAGGACAGCAAAATCCTTGACTTCTCAGAAGATTCCCACTGGGGATTTCAGCGAGGGTCAGAAGTTTCCTGTGTTGCTTAAGTAATATTTATTGTTGGTGTGTATATATATGTGATCATGTATATGTATGCCATGATGAATATGATTATGTTATATATCTGGGCGTGTCAAATGACAAGTTGATTCAGAAGCTAAAGTAGTAGCAACAGGCTTTTGTTTTAAAACCCAAGCTATCCTATATGACTGGAGAAGTGATTCTTCAGGAACAGAACCTCCCTGAAATAAGGGCTTTTTCCTCCCTCAAAAAGCACTGAGAAGGTGATCCCATTCTTGTTCCCTTTTGCCCAGTCTGTTCAAATTCTGGGTGAATACATACCATGGAAAACCATTTGAACAAATATTTTCCAGCGATGTTAGTGTATCAATGGAGTTCTGACTTAGGAACAATGAAAGGAAATTGGAAAGGAAACTGAAAACCTGGGGGAACTGGAGAATATATGTTAGTCTTTGAAAATCTTGAGTGTTTTGAGAACCAGTGATTACGCTAAGATAAGTGTGCCCTTCCCACCAGTGTGGTTAAATCCCCATTAGATCAAAAATAAGTATTTTGTTTTCGTTTTGATAATTCTTATTTTCTTTCAGCTAGAGTAAATAAGGACCACAGAACACCTGTGGCTAAGTCAGCAACAGCAGGTATGTTCATATGGCATAAGTTCAGCTCACTGTGATTTTTGTGGAAATAATTGCTTGAGAATTGATTGTGTAAATGGTGTCAAGCAAACACAATTTGCATTCAACTTTTACTTCGCTTTCTACTTTTAATTTGTAACTATAAACTCAACTATAAATTACAGTTGAAGAATGGCTTTTCATTACTATGTTAACCTCTTGAAAGGAAAATGTGAAATAAAAGCATACTTGTTCCAGGAGTAGATGCAGTCCTGGTATGCATAAGAAAAGGACAGAGTAGTGTGCTGTGTTTTGGATGTGCCTGTGATAGGATGGGACATGCTACCTAGAATGTGTACTGCAGGACGGCAGCACATCCTGGTGTGCAGACTCTATGCTGCAATTTGAGTCACAGTGGCATCATCTTATGTTTTCACACGATGTATTATAGTATGCATTTGGGGGTCTTTGTCACAACACTGAGGACAGAGGGTTTGGTTGTGTTCAAACACAGGAAGAAGCTTTAGCTTCCTTAACAGTTCACTTTTCCTCATGTTGGATACTGATGGATTTGCTAAAAGCAAAGCTCAGTGAATGGTCGCTACTGCCAGGACAGTAAGAAATGGAGGAAGGGGTGCAGAGAGTTAATATTTACAGGTGGAGAGAAAAAACTAAAATCATTTAGGCTCCTCTAATGTTGACTCTTGGCTGGTTGGTTGTTTGGGGTTATTTTGTTGGGGTTTTTTTGGGGGGTGTTGTTTGTTTGGTTGGTTGTTTTTGGGGGGTTATTTGTTTGCTTTGTTTGTTTGTTTTACATTTGTTTTATGGTTTTATTGGGAGACCACTTCAATTCAAACTGCTGTGTGAAAGTTAGCTCATACTGGCAGTTGGGGGTTTTCCTAAGAAAACCTCTCTTGACAATACTTGCCCAAAATGGACACAACATCTAGTGTTAGTCTCTTCTCCTGATCTGTATTTAAGTCATATAGTTACTGGATGGCCTGAGATAGCAGCTTTTAACTAAAATTTATTACCACATGAAAACTTTAAGCTATCTGACTGTTATCTGTATGTATGTCTCTTGTTTAAAGAGCTGTCAAAAGAGGAGGATACACATGACTACAGAGATGCTTCTTTTGAAGAAAAAGAGTTGAAATGTAAGTATAAATAATAAAAGGGAAAATAGTAGTAAATTGCACACAGCATAAATCATCCATGGTCATCAGAGCCTTGACTCATGGCTGGTTTGTTTAATAGCTTGTTTCAACAAATAGAGCCTTCAAGAGAAGTACAGCTTCTCATTCCCTGTCTTACAAAATCGCTATCATAACTCATTGTATATTGGGACTTACATGAAATAACTAATTTTAAAAAGAAAAGCCATGTGAAGGAAAATGTGATGTGGAGATACATAACAATCCAAATGAGTCTTTTCTCTAGCTCACGTTTTTGCTACAGGAACACTTGTGCCAGCACAACTGAAGCAGTGATGATGGCAATAGGGAGAGCGAACTTAACCCATCATGGCCACTTAAGCAAGTTTCAGCCATGAGATTCGGTCTCAGCAGAGCATGAGTGAGAAAAATGACCTAACCTGTCAGAGATTTCAGAAATGTCTGAAACATACTGTGGTATGGAACATGAGGATGAAGTTATTAAAGTTTTTCTTTCATGTTCTTGCTGACTTCTAAAGCACTTAGATTAATTACATCCTGAATCCTTTCCTGCTACACTTTACTGTAGTAAACATACACAAATGTAAGCCCGCTGGTCCTGCAGCTATAGATCTCCAAGTCAAAGACTTAGGGCCCAGGGATATGCTGCTAGGGATACCAACAGACAGACAGACCACTGAATTTATCTGGAAAACTTGAAAAGATTTTAAACAACAGGGGACCTGAGCCACAGCAATTTCACTCTATTTCCTAGAGAGCGCTTTCCACCAGTGTGTTAGAACTAGCCCTTTATTTACTCTCATGATCATATTCTTTTTCTATTTGACCTTTTAATTAATTTAATTTTAGATCTTTAATTTTGACAATGAAGGAAAAATTTTTAGTACCTCCAAACTCTAGGAAAGAGTCCCAATGCCATGAAATGTTCTGTGATTTCACCAGTTTGTAATTTGCTGTTTTTCATATAATTCTTCCTTTACAGATATGCAAATTGAGAAGACCTAAAGAAAGTAGGGGAAGATCTTTTCCTCTGTGGTGAAAATTTGACAGCTCAGATGTCCTGTGTTCTGTCTATTAAGGGGGATATTCATTTTTTGGTTTTATTCTGTAATGGCAATCTTTTTTGTTGTTGTAACTCAGAAAAAACTGCAATTATTGTCATGTAAAAAGTCCTTGGAGTTTCTGCTTTCTCAAATTTATGCACTTTTAGTTAAAAATATCTCTAAGGTAAAGCACTTTATGTCTATGACCATAATGAATTTAATATTTAGTTCTTGAATAGGTCTTCTTCTGGTCTTTTTTGGTATGTTTGGTTTGGTTTGGTTCTCTCCTTCCTTCCCCCCTGCTTCCCAACATGCTTTTTGAGGCCACAGTCTGGGTGTTCCTGAAGGTGATGGCCAATTTTTATTTATTCCTGGAGTGCAAGAATGGCTTCGGAAATTTAAGGGCCATTTGTAGAAAAAGCATTGACTTTCAGCAATACACAAATGTAATTTCGTATCATCACATAAATAATTCCCCTTCCGGACAACCTCTTCATTTTCTGCTTCCTCTTTGAATCTGCAACAGCTATTTGCATATTAAAGTAAAAGTGAAAAGTATGCTTCTTTTAATTATTATCAGCCTTTGCAAGGCAGTGCTACTAGTGCATGCTTAGTTTCATGGAACAAAAGCTGATGTCTTCACCAAACTCCACTGGACAGCAGGAACTGTTACATTTATATTTTCCCAGTAGGAGAAAAGGTGAGTTTCTATTGACTGTGTGGTATATCAGATAAGTAAGGTCATGAAATAAAGTAATATAAATATTTTTTTAAATTCCGTGTCTGAGCCTTCCCATCCAAAATGCCAGTGCTTGGATTCCTGAAAGGTTGATAGGAAGCTTGAAATTTTGCTACTTCATTAGACAAGCAGGATGTGTGGTGGATAACATGATGTAAAAAGCTCTACTTTATATTTCTCTGACATGCAAACCAGAATTTGTCTAATTTAATTTTAGTAATTTTACAAATTAGGCTTTTAGAATAAGCTAAATCTCTGGGCTTCATTTTTATGAATATAGGGAGACAGGCTCACATGCTCTTCCTCCATGTGCGATTTACACAATTACTCACGTGCATCATTGCACATGTGTGCTATGAGTTGTTTTGCACAGTTGCTTTCCACTTATGACAGAGGGGGAATACACACCTAACTGAAAATATAACATAGCTAGGTAATGAGAACTAGGTAAAAGAAAATCCTTTCTATCCTAACATAAAAAGTTTAGTTAAACACCATACTTATAATAAGATTTTTTCTGTCAGTTAACCATTTTTATATGCTACTTAAGAGTTTCTGGATATCTGGAAAATGAAATCCAGCAGGAAGTTAGAACAGACTGCTTCAGCAAGATGCGTTTTGCTTCTTAATGGCCAAGCACTGTTAGATGCCAGAAAGTGCTCAGAAAAGTCTGGTTCATGTGCACAGACTAAATTGGCTTACTGGTATTTGAGTTCAGGACTCATTTATTTGAAAATTGCAGTTACGAACCAGTTCGGTGGACTGTTTTGTAATGTGGCACTTAATTTTGTAGAAGATGAATGCTACTACTAAATAAAATTACATTAAAAAATAATAATAAGAAATACAGAATCTTTGCTATTCATCTGCAGGGCTTTTCATAGAGAAGCATGCAGAATGCTTTTCCCTTTTGGCTGGAAGAGTAACTTCAGTGTTCTTGATTGACATGTACCAGCGGTGCATTATCCAAGCATGGGCTAACCAGCAAAATGGCAGAGATGTTAACAGTGGAATACCTGCTTTTGTGGATGTTAACAGTGGGACTTCTGGTTTTGCAGCACCTTCTCCCCAGTTCTCCGTTTCCTTCTCCATATTTCTCTGGTCCTGCCGTCTAGGGTATTGTCCCAGACAGGTACCTGTCAGGATTCATGAGATGCCCAAAGCAGGTCACTGGCTGTTGGGTGGTTGCATTGAGCTTTCTGCATCCACGTCATATGGAGCATATGAAGAAAACGTACTGTAGCCAGAGTTGGCTCAGAATGATTAGAAGATGGTGATGGTGACTGTGAAGTAGCTTTGGGGTACTTTTTCTTTCAGGTGGTAAGTGATCAAGGAACTCTTTAATTTTCCTTCCAGAAGTCTCAATACATACAGGGAAACTAGACACCTAGGTGCAGGGGAGGTAGAGAGTCCTCAACAAACAAATAAGAAAGTCGTGGATGGGGTTAGGCAAAAAAAGGGCTAATCAGAAGAGAAGAACATAACAATCAACAAAACAAGGCTTCCCTCAGGACTTTATGCAGGTGGAGAATCTCCCTTGGTAGGACACTAGTATTCTGCAAAGGCATTTGCTGGGAGTCACCATGACTCCATCTGGGACATCCATCTTTTACAATGTCTCTGGTAGTGGGTTATCTCCTGCCTTTCCCACTTCAAAATACCTATGGGATCTGCATGACTTGCACATAATTCACATTTTTCTGCCTTTTTCTTTATTTTACCATTAACAAATCCTTTAAAAAATGTTATTTATTGCAAGGGTTTGTATGGATACTTTTCCCTGAATAGGCTATTTGTCTTCGCGTGGAAGGCCAGAAAGCAGACAAGGTCTTTGAGAGTTAGTGGCAGGTAGAGGGTGAAGATGGAGTTAAGAGAAACATAGGCATAAGCATCAGTCAGGAAGAAGAACCCCAGGAAGATTCAGTTTCCACATTCTCATATGCTTACAAAAAGAGCACTGATCATAGAATCATTGATTCCTGCCATGTTTTCCTCTTTGCTTTTACTGAAAGTGTTAGGGTATCAGGCAAACTTGATTTTAATTGTGAATCATATACAAGCTCAACTCTGGCCATATGGGCTTTTTTCTCTCCTTTGAGTGTTCAGTCACCCAAATCATTGACTTCTGTCAGCTGAATTCAAAGAATAAATATTTTACAGAATGCTTTGAATAAACTTGTTTGGATGCACGTTCTCAGCAATGCAGAGCCCTGAACTCTGAGTACATTCAGCATGAACACCAAAATGAAACTGGAACCACTCAAAAATTTCTGAGTAACTTGGTGATTTCCTCTTAAGACAGTTGTTTTGTGACATAAAGCCTGAAAAGGTCAGCGTACAAGCTGTGCTATCAGTTTATGATTTAAACTGATCATGAGTTGCATACTTTCTACTGTCAAGAAAATAGGATAGAGCTACTTTGTAAAACTTTGAAATCTTAACTGCTATATGAACCTGATTCATCCGATGACTACATAAAGATCTGATGTGAGTATAATGCTGCTAAAATGCAATTCAAGATTTACTGTATTTCTGACTGACGGATTGCAGATTTTTTTCCTATATTCTTAAGATTTGCCTGAATTAAGTTTATTTTTAAGTGATTTGTAAGGAATGGACTCTGATTATGAACCAGAAATTGGATAAGTCCCAAATCCTGAAACACAGGTCTGTATAACTTCACAAATAAACAAAGAATAAAGAGTTTTAGAAACTGAAACTATCTTTCAACTAGATCTGTCACAGGCAAAGATAGAGAGGAATGGTGGTAGAAAGCCTATGCATTGCATCCCAAGCTTATGCGTTGGGATGTTACTGTTCATACATTTTTCATTCCGAATTTCAGAGAAGAGTTGTGTAGAGAAAGAAATCTGTATATATTTGTATCTCTATGTTCCTGCTTATCTACCTGCAGATGGTAGGTTGTTTTGATTGCACAGCAGGTTGGGGGACTTTCACCTTCTGCATTCCCAGGAGGAGCACAGGCTAGGAAGAGGAGAGTTTCTTGTGCTTCTCTGAAAAATCTTTCTTTCTGTAAAAGCTGGAGATACGAAAGAAAATATGCAGTGTATCGAGCCAACGTCTTAGCTTGCTTTGTTCAATGCTGTTGCTAAGGGCTGAAAGGCATGTGTTCTGTAGAATACACGGTTGCATTTTAAATGTAATAATATTTTCTATAACAGAATTCAACCCAATCTTACCCTAACATCTATGGAAAAAAATATTCAAATTATTATAAAATTATTGGATTTGACGGTGAACAAGAACAAACAAAAAGGGAGTGAAAAAGATACAACAGGTGACAAACAATGCAGGGAAGTGGAAAGTCACAGCAGGGGTGAGCAAAGAAGTGATAAATGATGTTTCTTCACCTTAAGGCCGAAGTGAGACAGAGAGCAAGCTGAAGTGGTGCAAATAGCCTGTCACAGGTGATGTGAACATCAGTTATAAAGCCATGGACTTAGCAGCAGATGGACTGCATAGTGAGGTGGACAACAAGCGACTGCAGTAAGGATGCACCAGCAGAAAAGGAACAGCAGGTGAGAGGGTGCGTGAGTGAGGTGGTTGGGGAGGAATGAGGGCAGAAGACTACATCCACAGAACATACTGAGAGAGGCCTGAGGAACAGACTTCAAACAAATGTTAATACACATGCATAGCTAATATGCGTGAAGCCATCCAGCCAGTTCTTTATCCACTGAGTGGTCCATCCATCAAATTGGTGTATCTCCAGTTTAGACACAAGGATGTTGTGTGGGACAGTGTCGAATGCTTTGCACAAGTCCAGGTGGATGACGTCAACTGCTCTGCTGCTGTCCATCAGTCCTGTAGCCCCATCATAAAAGGCCACCAAATTGGTCAGGCAGGATTTCCCCTCAGTGAAGCCATGTTGGCTGTCACCAGCCACCTCACTGTATTTCATGTGCCTCAGCATTCTTTCCAGAAGAATCTGCTCCAAGATTTTGCTGGGCACAGAGGTGAGACTGACTGGTCTGTAGTTCCCCGAGTCTTCCACCTTCCTCTTCTTGAAAACGGGGGTTATATTTCGCTTTTCCAGTCGTTGAGAACTTCACCTGACTGCCATGATTTCTCAAATATGATGGACAGTGGCCGACCAGCATTTGCCAGCTCCTGATCGTTCAGAACCTGATCGTTCAGGTTCTTAAGGTGGTCTCGAACCTGATCTTCTCCTACAGTGGGCCTAAGGTCTTCATTCTCACAGT